TGACTCGACATATCACATCAATCTAAAATGAAAACTATTTCTGTAGCATTAAAAACATAAAGTTTGGTGATTGTGTTTTGAATTATAGTATAGATAATTCAACAAAACTTGTGAATTACAACAATTATTATAACATTGTGTATATACTAAGTACACTATATTAATAAATTATTTACGATCGTTAACTTAAACTTAATTAATTAATGCTTAGTTACGGTCTTAATGATTAAATGAATAAAAAAGTTAATTAAACGATCCAGTTAACAAGTTTTAAAAGTTGATAGCGCAATACGTTTTCCTTTTTTTTTATAGCTTTATCCAAAATGACAAAATGCCCTAATAGTAAAATATTTTTTAATTTTTTAAACTAATTTTTTTGTTCCAATTTGTATTTATTATTTTAATGTCACAATATACAATTAAATACTTTTATTGAAGTCGGCTACAAATTTTACGTGACTTGACATAATTTAAATAACATTTTACTTAGGATAATTATTTAAAAAGGTATCTGTATAACATTGAATTATAATTATTTTCACAGTGTTTTCAAATTTAAAAGAACAATGACGATTAAACAGTAGAAAAAATATGCAAAGCCATCAACATGCGAGGTTTACATATGGGTAATCAAATCCAATATAACAAAATATATATAGGATCGTAGTGCACTTTTTGGAATAAATAAATAGCGTTTTTTAATACTTACCATTTTTCAATTGAGCTTTCGCTCGGGATCCACAGGCATTAATGGATTAAAGGATTTACCATAACACCGACAATAGTCATTGTTGGAAGATTCGCATACTCCTCGAACGTTTGCGAACGACCCACCGTACTGGCCACGGCATAGACCCCAACAATCATCCGGGTTACAATAAGCATTCACGCCGTTGAAAGCGAACGTCAAAAAAAAAAAACATACCAAAACCGCGTACTTAGAATTCATGGCGACGGAACGGTGTGAGAAACGACTTTACAATATTAATACTTGTATTTGCTTCGAATGACTTGCCGGCCGTACCCACGCCCATTTATATTGCGCAGGTTTCTGCCGAGTTATGGATAATATACTCATAGAAACAAGGTGACCTCAGTAACCGTATAGGACGTGCAATCAGTCGGTTTATCTGTCTCGGAGTGCTGACAAATGCCTACGCATTTAATTAACGTTAAAGTGTACAGCTACAAAGTTCGAAAAAACATCAAGCTTTTGGTTTTGTACTTATTTGCCTCAACCGAACATGCAAATTTTCAATACATTTGAAATGGGTTTTTAATTCGCAATAAATAATATGATAGATCTAATGATGATGACGATGATACAAATTCTGATTTCTAAGTCCATTTGCATAAAACGGATTTAAAATATGATAAAAAAAATAAATTGCCAATAAATCAATAGCTTTGTTTAAAAAACTATTGAACGCAAATATAAAATGTATGAAGTTTAAAAACAAATTGATTGAGTTAATTCCGAATGCTTACTAAAAATTCTTTTTAGGTCGTGTTTAGAATTTTGTGAATAGTAGCCAATAGTTGACGATTATTATTCTACTCTTTTGCCCAAAACATTGTCTTTTCTATACGTACGGTTATAACAAAAGATTTTAAATACTCTGAAATACTTATAAAAAATAACTATTAAAATTTTATTAAAGGCACAACATTTTTAGATGTCTATACTATACGTTTTTATTTAATATGTTACGTACAAACAGTGATTGAACATAATTAGCATGTTGGTATGTATTATGTAATTTATTTTTTGTAGGTAAATAAAACGAAGCAGATGTAATGATCGACTCGTGTTTTTTTTACACAAATTCACTAAAAAAATTACTATAAGTCGTAAAAAAATCTAATACCCGTTGTGGGAACATTAATAAATAGATAGTTTTGATAACAATCTATAATGTACGTCGTTGTATGTGCAGTTAGGTACATCATATACATTTTCACATAAATTAAAAAGGTGTAAAAAATAAATAATTAAATATTTAATAAATTGGTGTTGACATAGGCTTGTATTTATGTATTTATTGTGTGTACAATTAACCAGTCTGGTCTAGTCAGAATTTCTGCGTGCACACACATACGAAAACTTCATAATAATATTAAAACTCGTTACGACATACTTGTAATTTCTTCATTCGTTACTGAACTTTTACTCAAAATATTGATTAAACAAATTTTTTTTTAGTTGACAATTTATAGACACACAACCGTACATACATTATCAATATAATCCAGCTTAAAATATTAAGCGAAAAACTATTAATTAGTCATATACAATCACTAGTTCTAAGTAACATTATCCATTTACAAACATTTTATATTTATTATAATAATATATACGTATATTTTTTATAATTTTAGTAAACTTGATATTAACGATTGTTTGTTTTTATTTAATAATCTACAAGTCTTACATTGTTAATGTTATAATCTAGATAATGAACTCATCGTCCCCTATCACAAGCTAGATGGCATTTTGTCTCATAACTATCATATTTTCTTAAAATGTATGCTATTGACAAGCATACAGTTATTAATAATATTATGTATAAGGACTAGAAGTATCGATTAAGTACACAGGCTACTCAATCTGCTGATTTACCGTTCATTATCTGTAAATTTGTAATTACAACAAATATAAAATATATTTTGTACATTTTAGTCAGCGACCCAATTCTCACTTAAATTTTTTCTGTTACTAAAACAACATTTTTTTTTTATAACAACGTCGATCGTCTAAAATAATATTGTAAAAATAATCGCTTGTCCTATTACGGAAATCACACCGGTCACATGAAATTATTTAACTAAACATATATTGTGCAAAATACAGATTATACTATTTTTTAGTTAAACGATTGAGGTCATTCTAATTCGGGTAATCTTATTGCCAAAACATAGTACTGTTTTATAAAAAATGTAATATCAATTAAATTGCTGACAACACACAGACGTGGCCATAAAAACCGTATTATTATTGTTTCTCGGTGTAAACAAACGACGTGCAAACATAAACAATTTTTTTAACTATGTAAGCCGATTACGTGTTACGGGATAATTTGTGTTTATCGATTGCTCGCATTATCAGCTTTAAATTAATTTATTTTGTATGTAGGTACTTACACGGGACGACTATTATAGAAACGATTGTTTTCTTATATTAACTATATTTTATAATCTGTATAAAAACAAACCAAACAGCAGCTTGTTATCTATTCAATTTTTTGGCATAGCCGTATTGTTTCACAAAATTTACCCCAGCTCCCACATGGCTACATCAATTACAGTAGGTAAATAAATTAAGATTGTAAGGCGCTGTAAACATATTTTATATTGACTTTTGTAATCTAATATTGATACGGAAAACGTACATTAAACATCCAGTCAATCTGACGAATGGACCAACAATACACTGAATTACCTTAAATATACTTTATCATACATCACTTTACATATATCATACACTTCATTAACTTTTTTAATTGAAAATAATGTACTTAACATTGTTATTGAGTTATTAATTATTTATGAATATTGTGCTCTTCTGTTGATTATACAGCAAACGTGAATAATCTTGACCGCTTAAATCCTAAATACTCTATTTTGACAATTTACACACGTGTTGACTGAAATGATTTATTCTTAGTGAATAAAAATAGATTAAAACACATTACATTTTCAGGAAAATTTCAAATTTATTGTAAAAATCATTATTTATTATCTACACATAATAATATTTAGTTGCCTTTAATGTATAACACATAAAAGCTAACATAAATAGTATTACAAAAAGTGTTACTACTTTGCAATGTTTTGAAATGTTGACATTATTTTTGAAGTTTTCTCGTTGAACTGACGACGATGTTTAATACGATGTCTTGAGCTAGAAAATACAAAAGAAAAAAACGGTAAGAGTAATTTAAACAAGGCAAATCACATTACATACGAGAAAGGCTTGACATAACCACATCAGTCTAAAATTAAAACTATTTCTGTACCATTAAAAACATAAAGTTTGGTAATTTTGTTTTAAATTTTAGTACAGGTAATTCACCAAAACTTGTGAATTACAACAATTATTATAACATTGTGTATATACTAAGTACACTATATTAATAAATTATTTACGATGATGAATTAAATTAAACTCAAGTAATTAATGCATAATTACGGTCGTAATAATTAAATAAAAAAAAAGTTAATTAAACGATTCACTTCACAAGTTTTAAAAGTTGATACGTTTTCCTTTTTTTTATAGCTGTATCCAAAATGACAAAATGCTCTAATAGTAAAATACTTTTTAATTTTTTAAACTAATTTTTTTGTTTCAATGAGTATTTATTATTTTAATACGGTAAATGAAATAGCAATTTTTTTAAAGCCCAGTAAAAACTTAGATTTTGCAACAAAGAAAAATCGCATAAGATTTGTTGATGTTGATGGATAAAAAATTAACGTTCAAAATAAAGCATTTTTAGTCTTAGATTTTTTTTTTGTATTGTCAATGATTAATTATCTATTGACATAGTACACAAAGAGAGAGACTTTAAAAAATTGGCAGGGTACACAAAAGATTGAGCGGTGAGAGAACTTGACTACCCTCAATGTGGCCAACGTGTTGAAATGTCAAAATATACAATTAAATACTTTTATTGAAGTCGGCTTAACATTTTAGCTGACTTGACATAATTAAAATAACATTTTACTTAAGATAATTATTTAAAAAGATATTTTATGTATTAGTATAGCATTGAATTATAATTATTTTGATGGTGCTTTCAAATTTAAAAGAACAATGACGATTAAACAGTAGAAAAAATATGTAAAGTTATCAACATCCGAGGTTTACATATTGTAATCAAATCCAAAATAATAAAATATATATATATATAGGATCGTAGTGCACATTTTGGAATAACTAAATAGCGTTTTTTTATACTTACCATTTTTCAATTGATCTGTCCCCCGGGACCGATAGTATATGCCATTCGTGGATCCACGGGGATACCATAACACCGACAATAGTCATTGTTCGAAGATTCGCATACTCCTCGAGTTTCTCTAAACAACGCACCGTACTGGCCACGGCATAGACCCCAACAATCATCCGGGTTGCAAGAAGCGTTCACGCCGTTGAAAGCGAACGCCAAAACCAAGAAACATACCAAAACCACGTATTTAGAATTCATGGCAACGTAACGGTGTAAGAAACGACTTTACAATATTAATACTTGTATTTGCTTCGAATGACTTGCCGGCCGAACCCACGCCCATTTATATTGCCCAGGTTTCTACCGAGTCATGGATAATATACTCATAGAAACAAGGTGACCTCAGTAACCGTATAGGACGTCGGTTTATCTCTCCAAGAGTACGGACAAATGCCCACGCATTTTATTAACGATGGAGTGTATTACTCATATTAATTGGATGTATGTAAAGAATGTATATTATTTTATATTTCATATATTACTGGGGCGTAATCAGTTCTATGAATAGGACGCAGTGACCTTAAGGGTTAATTGAATACGCAAATTTTGAATGAATTTGAATTTTTAATTTGTGATAGATAATGCGAGTTCTATCGATGATGATGGATGAAATAAAATCTGACTTTTCAAACACAGATTGAACATAACTATCATGTTGGTATGTATAATAAAATTTATATTTTGTAGGTAATTAAAACGAAGGAGATGTAGAAAAATCTAATACCCGTTGTGTGAGCATTTATAAATAGATGGTTTTTGATAACATTCTGTACCGTTATGTCGTTTGCGCAGTTATATACTTAATACACATTTTGTTGCATAAATTTAAAAGGTGTTAAAAAAAATATATATTTAATAAAATATTGTGTGTACAATTAACCAGTCTAGTCTAATCTGTTCTAGTCTGAATTTCTGCGAGCACACACACACACAAACTTCATAATAATATTGAGAAACATTGAAATTTAGGGCTTCTGACTTTTGTAATCTAATATTGACACTGAAAATGTGCATTAAACGCTCACTTGTGATGTCGATCCAACAAATGAATCAATAAAACACTGAATTATCTTAAACATACTTTATCATACATCACTTTACATTTATCATAAAAATTTGAAAAAAAATAATACATAATTATTTGTTTAAATTTGTCGAGGTACATGTTTAGGTTCATTATTAGATCATGGTTTATTTCGAAATTCTTAGTTTGAAATTCGATTGGAAATTAACACTGTACATATACAGAGTGATAAATTTATCGTGAACCACACAATATCTCATAGGCTCCAATTAGAAATTTTATTTTTTTTCCATAATGTTTTTATAAAATAATATGATTACAATTTTTCACAATTTTTTTTCTTTATACCCATTTCCCGAAAAAGTAATAAACTAAAGATGTAGACTCGGTCGATAACCAGTTTTAGCTTATTATTTTTGAAGTTTCTGAAATTTTAAGTATAGGGCAGATAGAAAGGTAGAGTGTAGTATTATACTTATCTGCGCGCACTTCCCGTCACATCCTAACACCTAAAATCTAAACTTTTAAAAAAGTTGTTCAAAACTGGTTATTAACTATTATGGTTATGTACTAAATATTTAGTACATAATCTCAATAAAAAAGTCAATGAAATGTATGCGTTACCATTTATGTTTCAAAATTTTCTACCAAAAAAACTAAGTAGGAAAAAAACAAAAAAAAAACTGGAAAAAGTTGAGATCACATTCTATAAAAACTTTATGGAATAAAAATGAAATTTCTTATTAAACCCTATGAGATATAGTGTCAAGATAAAATTATCACCTCGTACAAATAATGAATTTTTTTTTTTTATATATACAAAACCGATGAAACCAATACTTTTTTATATGGAGCTTTTGTTCGGTATTCATTACGATTGTAATTGTAGGAGAATTTCAATTTTTTTTTATATTTCTACTAATAATCAATACATTATTAATATATTACATTAATATACTATTTTTGGAAAAATAACCTTTGCATCCAGTTCCCTTCAAAGTCTACCAATGACTTGTGGATAATTATTATAATTTTTTTAATCGTTGGGATTCTCAACTACGAATAATAGTAAAACAAGTTGGTCGACGGGCATTATAGGTTCCTACACGAACGCCAACGTTATAACTTACAATATGATGCCGTGACTGATCATAATTTCTTATTTTCTTTCTTGTAGTATAATCGAATATTATATTTAATTAGGAGATAAGCATGATCCACTTGAGTGATTGTTGTGATACTACAGACCATAACAAGTGCTTTAAACATAAAACATCAACTAGTCTGAAATATGTTGATGTTATTATTGATGAAAACCATGTAAATAAACATTTAGATTACATTTCCTCAATTATTGGAAATTTTTTTTTTTAGTTTAACCCATTCAGTCCCCAGACATGTAACAATGTGTACGACTTTTTTAATATTATTTTTGTGATAATACTTATTCATGTGATAACGATTTAACCTAATAGACAAGGTGGATTGAAAAGGTGTAAACACTTTCATCCGCCCGCCTAAGAGGAAGCGATTGAAAATATTACATCAGTATAAAACGTCGCTAGGTGCGCTGCCTACCCCATAGAACAGATAAAATGTTATTATTTAAATGGAAGCAAACGGGAAATTAATTAAAATTTCTTGAATTGTTAAACATTTTTCCGTTAAACGTTGATGCAACTAATATAATATAAGTAAACCCATGCATTATTGTATACCATAATTTGTTTTGTTATTAATAAATAATATGAAATGTGAAACTCTAAGGTAAATAAAGTAGGATTTATGTTGATAAATTAAATGATTTTTACATAGAAACTCGTTATTAAATTAATTATTTCAATATATATATATAAAATATATTTTATAATTATCTAGAATTTTTAACGTCTTTTACATTCAGAAAACAAATATATTTTGCTTTCAACAGCGTGAACGCTTATTGCAACCCGGATGATTGTTGGGCTCTATGCCGTAGCCAGTACGGTGCGGCGTACTAAGGAACTCGAGGAGTATTTCAAAATTCGTGGTTTGAAATTCGATTTAAAACTAACACTAAGCATATACAGGATGATCATTTTATCGTCAATCACTCAATATCTCATAGGTTTTAATAAGAAATTTATTTTTTTTTAATATGATAGATCTAATGATGATGATGAAACAAATTCTGATTTTAAAGGCCATTTGCGTAAAACGGATTTAAGAAATGAAAAAAAAAAATTGCTAATAAATCAATAGCTTTGTTCAAACAACTATTGCACGCAAATATAAGAAGTATGAAGTTAAAAAAAAAAATTGATTAAATTAATTCGGAATACTTACTAAAAGTTATTCTTTTTATGTCGTGTTTAGAGTTTTGTGAAAAGTAACCGATATGTGACGTTTATTTTTGCACTCCTTTGTCCAAAACATTGTTTATTTTTATACGTATGGTTATAACAAAAGTTTTTAAATCCTTTGAAATACTGATAAAAAAAAACTAACAAACTATAAAATATTATAATATGTATTTATTGTGTGTATAAATAATGAATCTAGTCCAATGTGGTCTAGCCTGAATATCTGCGTGCACACACACACACACACATCATAACAATATTATAATAATATTAAAACTCGTTACGCCATAATTACTTTATTCGTTCCTAAACTTTTACTCAAAATACAAAATTAAAAAAAATTTTTTTGTAGTTGAACGTCTTTAGGCACACAAACATTTGGGAGAGTAAAACATCCCTCCTTAAAATATTAGTCACCTCGTACTAAAATAATGTAAAATAATTGTACATTTTAGTCAGCCAACCAATTCCTACTTAAATTTGTTTGTAAATTATCATGTATAATTTAAATCACTGTTTTTTTATTACAATATCGTCGATCGACAAACATAATATTGTAAAAATAATTGTGATTAACCAATTACGGAAATCACGCATAAGTTATTAATTATTTATGAATATTGTGCTCTTCTGTTAGTCATAATAACTATTCGTGAGCAATAATTTTAACCGATTAAATCTTAAATACTCTAGTTTGACTGTTTTATTGAAGTCGGATAATCATTTTAGCTGACTTGACATAATTTAAATAACATTTTACTTAGGGTAATTATTTAAAAAGGTATTTTAATTATCAGTATAACATTGAATTATAATTATTTTGATGGTGTTTTCAAATTTAAAAGAACAGTGACGATTACACAGTAGAAGGAATATGCAAAGCCATCAACATCCAATAATCAAATTCAATAAACAAAATATATATAGGATCGTAGTGCACATTTTGGAATAAATAAATAGCGTTTTTTAATACTTGCCATTTTTCAATTGATCTGTCGCTCGGGACCCATAGGAAGGTCAAGTGGTGGAACCAAGAATTTTCCATAACACCGACAATAGTCATTGTTGGAAGCTTCGCATACTCCTCGAATTTTTTCGTACGACCCACCGTACTGGCTACGGCAAAGAGCCCAACAATCATCCGGGTTGCAATAAGCGTTCACGCCGTTGACAGCGAACGCCAACACCAAAAAACATACCTAAACCGCGTACTTAGAAGAATTCATGGTGACAGAACGGTGTAAGAAACGACTTTACAGTTAATAATTGTATTTGATTCGAATGACTAGGCGGCCGGCCTTTTTATATGTAGGTTTCTCCAGAGTCATGGCTATATTTTAATACACACATAGAAACAAGTTGACCTCAGTAACCTTAGAGGACGTTCAAACATTCAGTTGATCTGTCTAGAAGTGCCCACGCATTTAATTAACGATGAATTGTACAACCCAAAAGATTGATAAAACTGCAAGATTTGTGTTTTATAATTGTTTCATTAATTAACTTAATTAAACACGCAAATTTACAATACGTGCGTAGTTGGATTTTTAAATCGCGATAGATTGAGATTTGATAAAAAAATCTAATGCAAACCTAAAAACCTACGCATAAACCTTTATCTATGTAAATATTTTATGTTCCACTTATAATTTGTCATCGGGCTCGCCCGTTTAATAATAATAAATAAAAAAACCAGTACAGTGGGGTCGGTGCATAGTGGAGACGGAGCATAGTTGGGTCAGGGCATATTGGGGACGAGGAGGTCACAGGTTTACAGGAATTTTAGCTTCGATGCAAAGCGAGAAGGTATTGGTTTTACTCTGATGTGGGCTTTTTTTTTCGCTGTATACACTGTAACTTTTTTAATACTAGACCAATTCCTTTGAATAGCAACTCATTAAATCACAAATTTTGTCTAGTTTGTACTTTGGGGGGGGGGTATAAGTTAAAAAAGTTTAAGTCATCACAGACGAAAGTTGAAAAAACAAAAAAAAAACCAGTCAATCTGACAAATGGAACAAGAATACACTGAATTACCTTAAATATACTTTATCATACATCACTTTACATATATCATACACTTCATTAACTTTTTTAATTGAAAATAATGTACTTAACATTGTTATTGAGTTATTAATTATTTATGAATATTGTGCTCTTCTGTTGGTTGTACAACAAACGTGAACGATCTTGACCGCTTAAATCCTAAATACTCTATTTTGACAATTTACACACGTGTTGACTTAAATGATTTGTTCTTAGTAAAAAAAAAATAGATTAAAACACATTACATTTTCAGGAAAATTTCAAATTTATTGTAAAAATCATTATTTATTATCTACACATAATAATATTTAGTTGCCTTTAATGTATAACACATAAAAGCTAACATAAATAGTATTACAAAAAGTGTTACTACTTTGCAATGTTTTGAAATTGTGACATTATTTTTGAAGTTTTCTCGTTGAACTGACGACGATGTTTAATACGATGTCTTGAGCTAGAAAATACAAAAGAAAAAAACGGTAAGCATAATTTAAACATGGCAAATTACATTACATACGAGAAAGGCTTGACATAACCACATCAGTCTAAAATGAAAACTATTTCTGTACCATTAAAAACATAAAGTTTGGTAATTTTGTTTTAAATTTTAGTATAGGTAATTCAACAAAACTTGTGAATTACAACAATTATTATAACATTGTGTATATACTAAGACACTATATTAATAAATTATTTACGATCATGAATTAAATTAAACTCAAGTAATTAATGCATAATTACAGTCGTAATAATTAAATAAAAAAAAAGTTAATTAAACGATTCACTTCACAAGTTTTAAAAGTTGATAGCGCAATACGTTTTCCTTTTTTTTTATAGCTGTATCCAAAATGACAAAATGCTCTAATAGTAAAATACTTTTTAATTTTTTAAACTAATTTTTTTGTTTCAATGAGTATTTATTATTTTAACACGGTAAATGAAATAGCAATTTTTTTAAAGCCCAGTAAAAATTTAGATTTTGCAACAAAGAAAAATCGCATAAGATTTGTTGATGTTGATGGATAAAAAATTAACGTTCAAAATAAAGCATTTTTAGTCTTAGATTTTTTTTTTTGTATTGTCAATGATTAATTATCTATTGACATAGTACACAAAGAGAAAGACTTTAAAAAATTGGCAGGGTACACAAAAGATTGAGCGGCGAGAAAACTTGACTACCCTCAATGTGGCCAACGTGTTGAAATGTCAAAATATACAATTAAATACTTTTATTGAAGTCGGCTAAACATTTTAGCTGACTTGGCATAATTATAATAACATTTTACTTAAGATAATTATTTAAAAAGGTATTTTATGTATCAGTATCACATTGAATTATAATTATTTTGATGGTGTTTTCAAATTTAAAAGAACAGTGACGATTAAACAGTAGAAAAAATATGCAAAGCCATCAACATCCAATAATCAAATTCAATATAACAAAATATATATAGGATCGTAGTGCACTTTTTGGAATAAATCAATAGCGTTTTTTAATACTTACCATTTTTCAATTGATTGACATCTCGGAACCCATAGGTGAGCCAGTTGCTAGAAGCTTGGGTATACCATAACACCGACAATAGTCATTGTTCGAAGATTCGCATACTCCTCGAGTTTCTGCGAACGCCCCACCGTACTGGCCACGGCATAGACCCCAACAATCATCCGGGTTGCAAGAAGCGTTCACGCAGTTGAAAGCGAACGCCAAAACCAAGAAACATACCAAAACCACGTACTTAGAATTCATGGCAACGGAACGGTGTAAGAAACGACTTTACAATATTAATACTTGTATTTGCTTCGAATGACTTACCGGCCGTACCTACGCCTATTTATATTGTGTAGGTTTCTCCCGAGTCATGTATATATTTTAATATACACATAGAATCAAGTTGACCTCAGTAACCGTATAGGACGTGCAATCAGTCGGTTTATCTCTCCAAGAGTACGGACAAATGCCCACGCATTTAATTAACGATGAAGTATATAACTCAAAATAATTGATGCATGTAATATGTATGTATATTATTTCATATTTTATATATTACTGAGGCGTAATCAGTTCTATCAGTAGGACGCAGTGACCTTAAAGGTTAATTGAATACGCAAATTTTTGAAACTTTATATTTGAATTTTTAATTTGTGATAGATAATGCGAGTTCTGTCGATGAAGATGGATGAAATAAAATCTGATTTTAATGTCCACTTAGGTCAAACGGATTATTTAGAGTTGATAAAAGAAACCTAATGTTTTAAGTATTTCGTTTTCAACCCTTTTGCGAGTTTGCTAATAAATCAATATCTCTGCTTAAACAATTATTGCACGCAAATGAAAAAATGTATGAAGTTTAAAAACAAACTGATTGAGTTAATTCGGAATACTTACTAAAAATTTATCTTTTTAGGTCGTGTTTAGAATTTTGTGAATAGTAGCTAATAGTTGACGATTATTATTCTACTCTTTTGCCCAAAACATTGTCTATTATATACGTACGGTTATAACAAAATATTTTAAATCCTCTGAAATACTTATAAAAAATAACTATCAAAATTTCACTATAGGGACACAATTTTTATATGTTTAGACTATACGGTTTAATTTAATATGTAACATACAAACAGTGATTGAACATAATTAACATGTTGGTATGTATTATGTAATTTATATTTTGTAGGTAAATAAAACGAAGCAGCTGTAATAATCGACTCGTGTTTTTTTACATAAATTCACTTAAAAAATACTAATAATCGTAGAAAAATCGAATAGCCGTTGTGAATAAATTAAAAAGATGTAAAAAAAAATAATAATAAATAAAATGTTTAATAAATTGGTGTTGACATAGGCTTGTATCTATGTATTTATTGTGTGTACAACTAACCAGTCTAGTCCAATCTGGTCAGTCATCCGGGTTGCAACGAGCGTTCACGCCGATGAAAGCGAACGCCAAAACCAAAAAACAAACCAAAACCGCGTACTTAGAATTCATGGTGACGGAACGGTGTGGGAAACGACTTTACAATATTAATAATTGTATTTGCTTCGAATGACTTCCCTGCCGTACCTACGCTTTTTTATATTATGTAGTTTTCTCCCGAGTCAATGATATAGTTGAATAGACACAAGTTAACCTCAGTAACCTTATAGGACGTGCAATCAGTCGGTTAATCCATCTAAGAGTACTGACAAATGCCCATGCATTTAATTAACGATAAATAAACGAGCAAAATTTTTGTTTAATACTTAATTATTTAACATTAGCGAACACGCAAATTTTCAATGCTTTGTAGTTGGACTTTTAAATCGTGATAGATAATGCGAGTTCTATTGGTGATGATGAAATAAAATCTGATTTTAATGTCCGTTTAGGTCAAACGAATTTTAGCTTCGATGCAAAGCGAGAAGGTATTGGTTTTACTCTGATGTGTGTTTTTTTTTTATCTGTATACACTGTAACTTCTTTAATACTGGACCAATTCTTTCGAATAGCAACTCTATAAATCGCAATTTTCATCTAGTTGGTACTTTGGGGGGGTAAAAGTTGAAAAAGTTTAATTCTTCACAGACGAAAGTTGAAAAAACAAAAAAAAAACCGTACGAGTTTTTAAGTTAGAACTTTTACTGGCTATAATTTCGAGAAAATGAGTCGGATCGAGTTGAAATGTATAAGAAATAATTATTTGGTATGCCCGCACACGTCAGTTGTGTCAAACTTAAATTATACCCATTTCCCACCCCCCTAGGGGGGGTACAATTTTTTTTGTTTTTCCGGGTTTTTACCGGTAATTTTAAAAATTTTGGGTTGAAAATTTGGCAGTAGTTGGAACTCATATGTGCCCATAACATATTAAACGGGAAAAAAATTCGGCATTTTTATTTAATTATATAATTATTGACATTTTTAGGGCAAACCTAACAGAATTATATGTAAAGAGGTACAAATATTTACCAAATTAATTATAACAATATGTTAAATACTAAGTACACTACATTAATAAGCTATTTACGATCAACAATTAACTTAAACCCAATTAATTGTTGCTTAGTTACGGTCGCAGTCATTAAGTTATTCCTTATTTAAACAGTTAATGAAATGATCATGTTTACAAGTTTCAAAATTTGATAGCGCATTACTTTAACCTTTTCCTTTTATTTATAGCTGTATCCAAAGAGATACAATAACCTTATAGTATAATAATTAACAATTTTTAAAATTAATAAAAAAAATAGATATATTTAAATTGTTTTGTTTCATATCTAACCTAACCTACTCTTTAAAAGTCATCACCATCCGAAGTTTACATATGGTACTCAAATCCAAATTAACAATTTATATAGATATAAATACATTTTTTTCTTCCAATGAGTATTTATTATTTTAATAAGGTAAATAAAATAGCAATTTTTTTTAATGCCCAGTGAAAAGTTAGATTTTGCCACAAAAAAAAATCGCATAAGGTCCAAACCCAATTTTTTTTTTTATTAGAAAATTATCCAATTTGTACAGTTAAAAAATTTGTATAATAAGCATATAGTTAAAGCTCGGATGTTAATGACTGCTTTGTTGATGTTGATGGATAAATAATAAACGTTCGAAATAAAGTATTTTTAGTAAAATATTTTTTTTTTTATTATAAATAATTAAGTAACTAGTACACAAAAGCTTGAGCGGTGAGAGAACTTGACTACCCTCATTGTGGCCAACGTGTTGAAATGTCAAAATATTCAATTGAATACTTTTATTGAAGTCAGATAAACATTTTAGCTGACTTGACATAATTTAAATAACATTTTACTTAGGGTAATTATTTAAAAAGGTATTTTATTTATCAGTATAACATTGAATTATAATTATTTTGATGGTGTTTTCAAATTTAAAAGAATAATGACGATAAAACAGTAGAAAAAATATGCAAAGCCATCAACATCCAATAATCAAATTCAATATAACAAAATATATATAGGATCGTAGTGCAAATTTTGGAATAAATAAACAGCGTTTTTTAATACTTGCCATTTTTCAATTGATCTTTTTCTCGGGACCGACAGGAATGAAGAGTGGTGGAGGCTTGTATATACCATAACACCGACAATAGTCATTGTTCGAAGATTCGCATACTCCTCGAATTTCTGAGTACGACCCACCGTACTGACTACGGCAAAGAGCCTCACAATCCCACGGAACGCAATAAGCGTTCACGCTGTTGAAAGCGAACGCCAAAACCAAAAACCATACCAAAACCGCGTACTTAGAATTCATGGCGACGGAACGGTGTGAGAAACGACTTTACAATATTAATACTTGTATTTGCTTCGAATGACTTATTCGGCCGTATCTACGCCTATTTATATTATGTAGGTTTCTCCTGAGTCATGGATATATTTTAATACACACATAGAATCAAGTTGACCTCAGTAACCCACAAGTGCAAACAGTCGGTTTATCTGTCTCGGAGTGCTGACAAATGCCTACGCAGTTAATTAATGTTAAAGTGTACCACTACAAAGATCGAAAAAACTAAAAGCTTTTGGTTTTGTACTTATTTACCTCAACCGAACACGTAAATTTTCAATACATTTGAAATGGATTTTTAATTCGCAATAGATAATAGGATAGATTTGATGATGAAACAAATTCTGATATTAAAGTCCATTTGCGTAAAACGGATTTAAGAAATGATAAAAAAAAATAAATGCCAATAAATCAAAAGCTTTGTTTAAAAAACTATTGTATAAAAAAAATATGCTAAGCCATCAACATCCTAGGCTTACATATGGTAATCAAATTTATTATAACAAAATAGAAAAACAGGATCAATGCGCTCTTTTTGGAATAAATAATTATCGTTTTTTATTACTTACCATTTTTCAATTGAATTTGAGCTCACCAGCGTTAGGAATTAAGACTGATACATCTTTCAATTTACCATAACACCGACAATAGTCATTGTTCGAAGATTCGCATACTCCTCGAGTTTCTGTGAGTGGCCCACCATACTGGCTACGGCATAGAGCCCAACAATCATCCGGGTTGCAATAAGCGTTCACGCCGTTGACAGCGAACGCCAAAACCAAAAAACATACCTAAACCGCGTACTTAGAAGAATTCATGGTGACAGAACGGTGTAAGAAACGACTTTACAGTTAATAATTGTATTTGATTCGAATGACTAGCCGGCCGGCCATTTTATATGTAGGTTTCTCCAGAGTCATGGCTATATTTTAATACACACATAGAAACAAGTTGACCTCAGTAACCTTAGAGGACGTTCAAACATTCAGTTGATCTGTCTAGAAGTGCCCACGCATTTAATTAACGATGAATTGTACAACCCAAAAGATTGATAAAACTGCAAGATATGTGTTTCATAATTGTTTCATTAATTAACCTAATTAAACACGCAAATGTACAATACGTGCGTAGTTGGATTTTTAAATCGCGATAGATTGAGATTTGATAAAAAAAACCTAATGCAAACCTAAAAACCTACGCATAAACCTTTATCTATGTAAATATTTTATGTTCCACTTATAATTTGTCATCGGGCTCGCCCGTTTAATAATAATAAATAAAAAAAACCAGTACAGTAGGGTCGGTGCATAGTGGGGGTGGAGCATAGTTGGGTCGGGGCAAATTGGAAACGGGGAGGTCACAGGTTTACAGGAATTTTTAAATCTGAAAGTGATAAAATCACTTTTGAAAAAAACGCTTCGATGCAAATCGGTAGTTAGTATTTTCAAGTCAGTACAGTCCAAACCAAGCACAGTATAAACCAGCAAAGTTAGAAAGTTTTAAATGAAGGTTCTGTATTTACAAATGAGCATCAAAGCGTTTATTTGAAAGCGATTTTATTCAATTTTATCACTTTGATTTATAATAATTCTTGTAGACCTGTGACCTCTCCGTTTCCTCATTGCTTTGATTACATTATGCCAATACTCTACTGTAGTAGTCCTCTCGGATAAAATCACT